GCAGCGACCTCCCCACCCCTAGTCCCCAGCCTGCCAGCCCCGAGTGAGGGCCCCCAGAGCCTCTGCGGGCCCTGGCTGTGCTGCGGGAACACAAAACCACCCTGCCACTGTCTCCATGGGGGAGTGAGCATCCCTGTGTCCAACCTGAATGCGGTACCTGTCCCTGGCCATTGCCCTTTCTGTCAAGCCTTTAGATGGGGGAAAGCAGTTTGTTCTAGAATCATACAAGTGATTCCTGAAATGCTAGGCAGTCAATTCACCATGACTAACTAATGGGTTCCCTGGTCCATGCCACCGCATTTCATTTGGAGGACCTTCGGGACTTTTCTGTGAACTGGTAAACACACTTGCCAGAGAAGGGTGTCTTCATCCTCCCCCATCTGGCTGGTTAATGACTCAGAATTACGGAGCAAATCGAAAGTGCCGCCGAGAAGAGACTCTATAGGGGAAGATTAAAACTGTTTCCCATGATTTATGTTCATCTGCAAAACAGACATGTAAATAGTACGCAAAAAAAAAAAAAAAAAGGTTGGCAGTAGGAGCCCTGAGGTCTACATTGTGACTGGATGTCAGTCGGTATGTGAGTCTTAGTATGTGGTTTCCGATAATGTCAAATGCGAGTAATAGGGTCTGGAATGTAATACGATTGCCAGAAATAAAGTTAGCTCAGTAAAACATCTATAGGCATTGCTGTTGGCCGCTACCAATAGGACTATTGTTATTAGTAATAATAACTATTATTACCAATAAAATAATAAATGGAAATCAAGAGAGACTTGCACTTTCAAAATAAGGGGAAATTCTCCGGGACACAGTAACAGAGATGCGTTTCAGGTCAAGTTTAGGTAACAGCAGTGGCAGGATTATTTTGTTTGAAATAATATTTAAAGGACTCACTTTTTCTCTAAACTTAGGCAAAGCACTCCTTTGTTACCCCATTGAAGGTCTCTCCTCCTAAACATTAAAGTTTTTATTCCTTAAAGATTATTTTATTAAGACTTTTATCTTTATCTGTTGCCATTTTCAAGTTTCCCCTCTAAAAACATCATTATATATTTAATAACACAATATGGATTGAAAATCACTGTTCAGAAAAGGAGTAATTTTGGCTCCTCTAGTAAACTTCCTTCTTGAACTTCCAAGGGGGGACAGTGAAGAGTGATGGTTTCTGGGATTGCAAATCCTCAAACACCTGAGCTATGTAGACAGTAAGGACTAGGTCTGCATCAGTTGTGTGCATACAAAAGGTAACACATAGTATCTCCTTATTTCTATTATGATTTCCTTTTCCTGATTAATTAAAATTTAAATCCCGCTTAATGGGTCAAGCCTGTTTTCCTTTTGCCCATGGAGAATTTGCTAATGAAAAGGATTATTTGAATGACTTAACATCAGCAGCATGAGCAAAACCCCATTTCAGCTGCCCTGAAAAGTTCTCATTCTGACTTTAAAAGAAAGTTATGTAATTGTTGGTTTCAGAAAAGTCCATTGAATTTTACCTTTAAAATGCTGTAACAGAACTGGGAGTGTAGCTCGGGGATCAGCACTTGCCTTTCATTCATAAGATCCTAGGCTCAATCGCCAGCCCTCAGGAAATAAGAAGTTTGGGCTTGTGTTTATAAGTCAATCTTGTCTTTGTATGCTATTGTGTACTGTAATGTTAGGAGAGGAAAACAAAAACTAGAAAACAGAAGTCCTTTATTACTATATGAATTTTTAATAATCTATTTCAAATTTATCAATATCCTTTTTAAATTAAAATATATTTTTGTCCTTTGAGCCAAGAAATATTAGAGTAGAAATTTAAAGTAGGGGAAAGACAGTGATTGTGGTTTCAAATGCATTGAGTAAGAATCTCAGGAAGCTGTCTTCACAGAGGAGGCAGCAATGGGGAAATTGTTTTGCTAAATTCATCCTATCCAAATAAAGGGGACATGAGCTGGACAAAACATTCAGAGAAGAAGTAAATCCAAGACACACCACCATTGTAAGGATGGCAGTACTTTCCTATGGATGAAAAGCAAATATGTATGTACTTACCCAACTCTGCAGAGAAAAATAACCATTAAATTATACAGCTCTAAGTTAGTTCTGGTCTTTGTGAACATATCCTCCAGTCACAGTCATGGAGGTAGTTAATTGGTGCATTTTTTTTCCTCAGATGTGACTATCAGTGTGTCTAGTATTTGGCTTTGTTTCTTTGCTTTGTTTCATCCACTACAGGTTTTCCTAGCCACACATTCTGAAACTCACAATTTGTGGTACTTTATGCTGTTTGAATAATTCACCATGGAATAATATTTCTAGCTATTACATTTTAAATTGTTCACTCTTATGAATAGTTTACCTATTCTACCAGATCTTAAAAATATGAAAATAAATTTGCTTTGAGCATATTTATGAAGCATTGCTACTTGATAAAAATGCATAATAGACTTGGTTTCTCTTAGAAACACTGCGTAGTATACATAGGCATTTGTGCATGTGAGCACGTGTGTGTGTGCGCGAGTGTGTGTGTGTGTGTGTGTGTGTGTGTGTGTGTGTGTGTGTACAAGAATTCATATTCATGAATATGTATGTGTGAGTCCCGCCACATGCCTGTGGAGGTCAGAGAACACTTACACTCCCCTGAATTCTGGCAATTTGCATTCTGCTGATTCAAACTCCAGTCCTCACATTTCTGTGGCAGCACGTTTACCCACTGAGCCATCACCCTAGAGCTTTCGAGGTTTCTTAGCAGGACTTTTTGACAGCAACCAACTCAACCAACATGATATTTCTCATTACAATTTACTTTTCTGTTAAAGACTGCTGACCTGTACTAAGAGGTAGTACTATTTTACTCTGAGATTCAAATATTCTCTAAGTTAATTTGTAAAGCCTAAAATAGTCTTTCTTTCCTTGTAATATGTGAACTATATAAGCTCATTTTCCACAAATGTTTTTGATAAGCTGGAAAGATTGAGTAGCTGCATCGTTTATTGGGAAGATGTGTTATTTGTGGAGCTGTTTAGGACTGTTCTTTATTGTAGCCTAACTTGAATATTTCATTTATCTCAATGTCAAAACAAAATCTTTGGATTTATGAGAAAATAATTTTAGTTTCTTACAGGCCGGACCACTAACCAAAGTGACTCTTTGCAAAGACAGAGATGGAAAGCCGAAGTCCTTTGGCTTTGTCTGCTTCAAGCATCCTGAATCTGTGTCTTATGCCATAGCTTTGCTGAATGGAATTCGTTTGTATGGGAGGCCAATTAATGTGCAGTATCGGTTTGGTAAGTTCTCTCACTAGTCCTTCTTCAAAGTGTGCTTTGTTGGTGCTACGCTCAGGGGCTTCTGCATTTTGTTTTCTATATAGTGTAGGACAGTGGTTCTCAACCTTCCTAATGCTGCAAATTTTGAATACAGTTTCTCATGTTGTGGTGACCCCCAGCATAAAATTATTTCATTGCTACTTCATAACTGTAATTTTGATATTGCTATGAATTGTAGCAGACATATCTGATCTGTGACCCCCAATGGGGTCTTGACCCACACATTGCAAATCACTGATGTAGGACAATAAAAAGTGTTTTGTCATCACTATTGATTTTTGCAGTGTCTGTTTGGTAGGCTCTGTCACCCATCAATCTTCAAAAGGTGCTCTCTTGTTGGCCCTGTTCTCAGGGGCTTACACATTTAGTTTTCTTTATAGTATAGGACAAAAAAAAATGTCTCTGCAATCACTGTTGTTGCTTTTGGGGGGGGTACATAACTAATGTTGAATGTATAATTAATTGATATTGCCCACCTTATTACTAAGCCAAACCTATATGTTCTATATTAAAACTTTAATTCTATTTTAGAACCAACCAGCAAGTACCTATAAAGGTTGCTAGCAACTTGAAAATCTCCATGAATTAAAAACTAGTAACTCTAAATTTTACATAGCAAGACTGTTTTACCTTGTTGACATTGCTCAAGTACCTACTATCTTGAAGAAAGTCTTTCCCAATTAGACTTTCAGGAGAAACCATTCTATGAACATTGATAGGTCCTGAATTTTACACTTAAAGACAATGTGTTACACACATCATGAACTAGTCATCTATAAAGGAGAAGAGCATAGAGTGTTTGAAGACTGAGAAAGGACAGATAGAGGCATCTGAGTACCATGGGGCCTCCCCAGGTTGGTGCTCAGTAATTGATGTATCAATATTATTGACCTGTTAAGGTCAACAGTAACAAAAATCATGTCTTCTTGCAAAAGAAAAGTTGTCTCTGCCTTTGTTTCCACCCCCCACCGCCCTGCCAATTGGTGGAATAAGCTTGGGTGTGTTATGTTCTGACACAGTCTGTGTAAAGTTAAATTGGCCTTTGTCCATAATGTTTAGGGAACTCATATCTTATATTCTAGGAGCAAATGACACTGATGGTGTGCCATTTTTAGTTTACAGTAATGTGCAACAAAACAGCATTGTATATCGCACATAGTACCATGCCTGCGCAAACTTTATATCTGCCCAAGGCTTTTGGACGTAGGTCAGTGTAGGGGAAGCTGTAGCCACACCTTCTTAGGGGCTGGCTACAGCTTCCCCTACAATTCCCCTTTTAGTCTAAATACAGTTTTCATCCAGTGATTTATAATGCTATATAAAAATCTGTAAATGTGACTCTAGATATATGTGCATATGTCTTAACTGGTACAAAAAAGATAAGGTTTTATGCTTATGTTTGCTTGGCTTTTATTAAATAGGGTCTCACTATATACATCCCAAGCAATTCTGAAACTCTAGATCTGTCTACCTCAGTTTCGCAAATGATGAACTACAGGCCAGATCCCCCAGATTTGGAGCTTGGGATAAGTTTATCACTTAAATGTTATAATGTTCAATCTCTAAGTAATTATGTCATGAAATAATGTTTCTGTTCTGTTTTATTCTCTTTAATTCTGCCTCTTTAAAGGTAGTTCTCGCTCTTCTGAACCAGCTAGCCACAGTTTTGAGAGCTGTGTTAAGATAAATTCACACAGCTTCAGGTAATCAAATGCATGCTCTTGAATAAATATGGGCTTTATTATCCTAACTTGTCAGATATCAACAAGTATATTAAAACAGCAATCTATGCATGTAACAGTCTAGCTAAGTTGTAAAAGGTAAAAAAGGTAAAAAGGTAAAAATTCTACATTGCTTTTCTATCTATAGAAAACTAATGTACTCTTAGTGACTGCAAGTCTTTTGCTTCATTATGTTCATATCTGAGTATTTCTTTTTTTAAAATATAACATGGCTGGGCGTTGGTGGCACATGCCTTTAATCCCAGCACTCGGGGGACAGAGGCAGGTGGATCTCTGTGAGTTCAAGGCCAGCCTGGTCTCCAGAGTGAGTGCCAGGATAGGCTCCAAAGCTACACAGAGAAACCCTGTCTCGAAAAGCCAAAATAAATAAATAAATAAATAAATAAATAAATAAATAAATAAAATATAACATGATCTAAGATGTCCCTTCTAGAAGACAAATGTGATTCTCTATACTGTAGTTTCCATACTTTATAACTAAGTAATTAATGCAATGCCATGTCATTACATCATCAATGACATGACACATTATTGGTATGTGTTCAAGCATTTGATGTTAAAAGCTACCAGGGAACTCTTCTTCTACTTACATAAGGTTGTCACTATTATTTTCATGAGAAAATGACATTTGTACCTTAGAATTTTAAGATGTCCTTGCTTCTCTTCTTTTGCTAAGGAATGATGAGATGGTGGGCAGATCTTCATTTCCCGTGCAGTTTTTCCCAGTTCCGAACACTGCTTTACCTCAAGAATATTTTTTCTTTCAGAAAATGGTACGTGTGAAATACATTTGTTTTAGTAAACAATTTGCAAACACAAGAACAAAAAAATGGCCCTTCTTGACATTTTGGTGTTGAAGTCTGCACCTGGCATCAATGCAGACTATGCTGTGGCTCAAGCTCAGTCAGGCTTCTGAGAAATCCTCTGCATAAGAACTATGTGACTGTCCCACACTCTGCGCCAACAGGCTGGAGAGAGTGGTGACAGAAGTAACCAACCATTGAATCCCTCATTCCCTAGAAAGTGACCATTGCCAGAGATGTTCTTAGGAGTGAAGATTTTCTCTCAGTATGTAATATTCATATGTGTGGCCATCAATCACATTTAAGTATTTTTGTTTTAAAAAGCCACTTGGAAGTTCTCAGTTACTAGAAGGAACTCCCTCCAGTGTTAAGCTTGGTTGTAACCTAGAAATCTTAATCATGGTATTGGATTTTAGAATATTTTCCTAACAACTCTTTGTTTTCTAAGTAACATAATGTAAGTCCCAGGGTATTACTCAGCAAATCCAAAACTACAGGTTTGTTGGCAATAGCTTTGGGACCAACTTTGTTCTCATGCCCCCTGCCCCACAGAGGAAAATGACACTTTCACTTCTGGAGAAAACTTTCCTGATCTATATCATCAAGAAGCCTTCCCTGGCACTAAAGTCTCTCCCAGGGTATTTTATCTGTATTTGGTCTAGCTGGACTTGAGTGGAAAAATGTTTCATGCTACCTTGTCCTCTGATTAGAACAGTCAGAAATGTCAGCTAACTTGTTAAAACCCAAGAAGTGTTTCTCTATCTAAAAAAGTAACAACTGTGTCTTTTTACAAGGTGGGAGCTCTCAGCTTCATTAGCACCTGAGAAACTTTTCATTGTCATTGAAAGAAAGTAGTTATAAATGTTTTGGTTATAGGTTTTTTAAGTAACTACATAAAATCAAATAACTTCAATGATGACTTAGCTTCCAAGTAGGATAAACTGTGGTGAGTATTGGAGAAGATTCCCCCTGAAAATAAAAGCAGGATATCTCCCTGGAGATGTACCTTGGGAATGGAGTGCCTGCCTAGCAAGAACAAGGTCCTAGACTCAATACTCCAGCTCTGAAAAAAGAAACTTCTTAAATGGTAACAGGTGTTAAATGACAATAGTCTGGATTTGTGTTGGGATAAATACACTATTTTATCTGTTTATTTTCCTTTATATTGTGTTTATTGATGACCTATGTGCTTTTGCATAATTTTTCTGCTAGACACTGCTTAACAATGGGCTAATATACTATGTGACCCCATTAGTCTTTGTGCTTCATGTTACCCAGATGAAGCAATGCCCATAACCCCTTGTCCAAAACAATCACTGTGGTATGCCCAGGTCATCTTGGCTCACCTCTTACTGTCTGCAAGTGCCTGTGAGTCGTTAGCTTTCTTTTTGCATTTTGAGTGTGTGTTCATTCATACGTGTCTTCTCTTCACAGCACTGGCACACCCAGAGTCCAATGCTGCAGCCTCCTTTCTATGACGTGACAGCTACACTTCCCAACAGTGCATCAGGGCCTAGTTCCTCAAACCACGCTCCAGACCTCCAGGCTGGACCCAGCTCCTATGAATGGACTCACCAGCAACCAAGTGACCCTGACCTTTATCACAGGAGTAAAAGGAAGAGGCAAAGGCAGGCCAGTGACAGTGACAGTAGCTCAGAGGATAAGAGAGGAAATGAAGGTAGCCAAAGATGCCGGAAATGTAAAAGGAAGAAGAAATTCTAGTGAAGTATATCTACACTGCTCTCGACTCTCTCTCTAAAAAAAAACAAAAATCTGTTGTACCAAGTTGCCCATTTCTTGGCCACCTTGTCTTTTTAAAAAAAATATGAAATATGACTCTGTGATTGGCTATTCAGTTTTTGCCCTGAGTGATAAAAGCCTTCAAACAGTAATAGAATATACTCCTTTTGTATTGGCAAGGTTATTTTTGGCCCATTGTCAAGAGAATACTCTTTTCATCATCTTATTTTTGAGAGTTGAGGATGAAGCTTCCCCAAACTCACTGAACCCTTGAGGGTTCAGCACCATGATCTCCCAAAAGTCTCACCTGAGCCTTTCAGCTAAAAGTGGACTGGCCTCAGGGGTGCATCTGCAGGTTGCTGGGAGAACTGATGGCAATATTTAAAAACAGAGAGTCCTAACAAACATGTGGTGAGGAGGCTTCCGTTCCCTGTGTAACTGACACTTTAGTTTTTATGTCTAAATATGGTACCTCTGAGCATCACGAGCAGGGTTGATGCTGCCATGTGACCATGACTGTGATATCAAAGGAAAGACAAACTGTCATATGTTCACTGTCATGTGCTCAAAGGGAACCCTGTGTGATGATTCCCCCTTTTCATGATTTTATTTGACACAACTCTCTCTTTACATCTCACTTAGTGTTTATAATGAGAAAAATCAGTGATGGTGTTAGCATCCACTGTCTACTTCTGCCACCTCGGGTGGGAAGTATATAGCAAATGTGTGAATTGTCTGATGAGCAAGTGTATAGAATGATGTATCATCGTATATTTGATGCCTACTTCCAAGTCTTTGTTTTTAATTTACTTATTTTAGAAGATGAATGGACTACAGTAAAATGAATGGTGTATGTCAATTTGATAGCCCAGTATAAACCAAAATTATGAAAAGCATACATTTGTTAAAGCTAACTGAAAGAATCGTGCAAAAGCCGCTTGGATTTATCTACTTAGTTGAAAAGGAAAAATCACACATGGATGTTACTTTTGCATGTTGGTTTTTTTATAAGTGTTATTTATTTAAAAGAATAAATATATATGGAAATAAATTAGGTCAGCGTGATTGGCATGTTAGCAGAGATGTGTATAAGAGTGCTTCTTAGCAACTAAGATTGACATGTGTAATAAAGTCAGTTTGACTGAGAAATGTCCTCATAACTCTGCCGTCAGAGACAGAAAATTAGTGTCAATTCTCAGATAGTCAGCCATTTAGCTAAACAGAATGCTAGGAGAGTTACTTTCACTGTGGTGTCTTTCTTTGTATAAAACTTCGCCATGTGTTGGTGGCACACACCTTTAATCCCAGCACTCGGGAGGCAGAGGCAGGCAGATCTCTGTGAGTTCGAGACCAGCCTGGTCTACAAGAGCTAGTTTCAGGACAGCCTCCAAAGCCACAGGAAAACCCTGTCTCAGAAAAAAAAAGTATAAAACTTCCCTTAAAGTGCTAATATTTGCTAAAACCCCCAAATTTTAAATTGTCAGTTTTCCAAATGCTCTGTACGTGGATGAAGAACTGTTAGTATAATTGGTTTCACGGGGCTTTCTTTTCCAATTTTAATCCTCCAAACTCAGAATCTACTTCAAATGGGAGAAGAAATTAATAAGCTAAAAATGGAATGAGACTTTACACATTCTCAATTCAATAATTTATTTAGTTAGTTTTTAATGTAGCAGGCATGGCATAATGAGGAAAAGTGTCACTAGAAATTAGTGGTGCACACACCCTCAACTCTGTAGAAAAGACACATTGTGCTACAAGTTAGCTGTTTCAACAAAGGACACCTACAAAATTTCATTATTAAGTGCAGTTATAAGCAATATTTTTGTAACATTACAAAATGCTATTGCAGTTGATTTTTGTTATTGTCTATGATTTAAAAATAGTGAAAGTTGTTACACCTTGTTCCACACTGTTCAGGTTAAAAATATCATATGCAAATATGTGCTGAATTTCTTTACTGCATGGTTAAAGATTTCTATCTTAACAATATTTCCAACACTGTACCTATGATTCCAACAATATTTCTTCTTTATCTTTTAAACATACTCACTAGGGTATCTCATTAGCAATACAAACTTTATGATTTCCTTTCTAGCCTAAATTCTCCCCCCAAATTTCTTCTTTGTTCAGTTTTGGCTGATGTTCTCCTACTGATCAGCTTTTCAAGTTTTTCCATACTATCTTGCTTCAGTGACTTACTTCACTTCCTGGTCATCCCCATTACACCTAAATAGTTTTGACGCCAAACACATGTCAAAATGAAAATAGGCTCTTATATTTCTACTAAAAAAGGTAGAAATGACACAATTTGTTCAATTTCATGACTAAAAATATATTAAGTTTAAGCATACTGCTTGTGGTGGACTTGGTTGAGTGAGATGTGGTTTAAATATCTGCTCCGGTGGTTTGATTGTATGGTTCCAGTTCCTGCCTGTCCCTAGGAAGAAAAAAGCTAGAGGAATACTGTACAGTCCCAAGATAAAGAGTAGGCAGAGCTTATACCCCTACTTCTACATGTGTGAGTAAAGCATCAGAAATGAGAATCTTGTTTATTTACTTATTGCATCCTTAAAAAGACAACTGATAGCCTGGGCTTTATTCTGGTGAAATTAATTCCTCAAAATCAAACTATTTTGGAAATTATATTTCACTACAGAGAGCTCAAACAGTGTCTTTTTTTAAATGTGTTTTTCTTTGTTTTTGAAATTTCCATACACACACAATGAAATATTATGATCTCTTCTTTCCTGCATTCCGCTACACTTACTTAGGAATCTTAATAAAATACTGTTTATTTGAACAGTATTGATGAGATTCATGCACTTATTAGGGATATAATGCTTTGGATTTTACTTCTATACAGTAAGTAATAATAATTACCACAGGAATATACACTAGGGTGACAGTCATAACTGTATTCTAACCTTGCCACTTGCCACCCAGAATCCTGCGAGCTATTATGGAAAATTTCTCATTATTCCATTTTTTAATATGTATACACACACACACACACACACACACACACACACACACACGAGAGAGAGAGAGAGAGAGAGAGAGAGAGAGCCTTTAAAAAGCAACAGGAAAAACACTTTCAGTTCTTTAAAAATTCAGTGAATATATCACCAGAGTTCTTTAGAAAAGTACACTGTGGTTCCCTGACAAATTCTTTCATATGCTACCCAATTCCTTCTGGAGAACAATGGATCAAAAGAATTGTCTCAGTTCTCTTTTGATGTGGTATGAGAGGGGGAAGAAAGAAGCCTGTGTTTGGCTGGCTGTTCTGGGGAGTCGAAGCTGGAGGTGGTACTGGTGGAACAGAAGCATAGACCTGAGATGATTTTTCATGAAAGGAATGACCTATAAATGCCTCCCTTGTGTTTTTATGTACCTACTAGTTGACCTTTGCAGATAATATTTTTAGGAGTCTTTCACTTAGAACAAGTAGTGCCCACTGGTATTTATACTTGTTGCAGATACATGTTTCCTGCCCTTGTTTGCTTTCCTTCTGCCATTCTCTTTGAACTGGAGACTTTGCAATTTGTGTCCATTGCCATTTCAATCTGTATTATTGGTTGCCTTGTGAGACATTCTCAGTAAGTGTTTTCATTATTAATGTAAATAATTCTCTTCAGCTTTTCTTCTGGTATTTTGTTTCATCTTCACAATAAGTATGCAAAGTACTTATAATTAATCTTATCATGAGATATAAGTTAAAGAATCTCTGTTTTATTCTCTAAATTGTTAGTTAAAATAACCTACCTACCACAAAGTAAATTCTTGTTTGTGTTTTCTGTGCTTTTTATTCTCATGCACTGAACATCTGGCTTTATAATAATACTACGTTATTTTAATTACTCTATTCATAATTTAGGAGACAATTTCATAAAATTACATCTTTGCAACTTCATAAAACAAAACAATCGCATTTTGCTAAGATTAAAATGTGTGTTTATGTTTGCTCTATTGATGTGGTGTGAAGCCACTTATCATTCATATTCTTTTTAAGAAGCCTTCAAAAATAATTACTTTGAAGTGTCAATTTTACTTTTAATTCATTTTCCAAGTTTTAAAACATGAGGCAAAATATCTTCAGAACTATTAGAAGGCTAGGCAACTTCCTTTATAGCTGCTCTCTTGTAACAATGTAATTTAAACTTTTTCCAATAAGGTTAGTTTTAAATACACGTTAAAGATTAAAAGGATAAGGCAAAATCAATACTTATGAAAATTCATCTGCATGTATTATTAAAGGACAATGAACAAGCAAAGTTGCTCTTTATTTTTCTTTGCAATCCAGTTGTCTTTATTCCTTGACTAAATCCCAGGGGCAGCATTAAAGTAGATCTTAAGGACAAGAACCTACCATTTCAAACTGGTTTCATTCCTTTTTCCAGTTCTCAAGACAGAGTCAGGACCGACCTGACATACTGCTCCTCTGTTCTTTCATCATTGTCTACATAGACTCTTGGAAATAACCATTGCTGAGTACTTAGATACCCTCACCTCCCACCATTCTCCAATGGATGAGACTCCAGCAAAGAGGCAAAGATGCTCACTATGAATCTGAACCCCAGTGTCCATGAAAATTACATATTCTCTGCTGTGCTATGTGTTGGATCACCCACACTAAATTTGGGATTTGGATGTTCCATCTTTCATGTGATACTTGGTCCCACTTTATCCCTTTTAATTTTCATTGTTCTCATTTCAGTAGAATTGGTGCATAATACTTTAAAATGATCAAAACATCGCACAGTTCTGGAGTATCTACAACTACATTAGAGAAGAGTTTCACTATGGATACAGTCACTATGGAACTGTGGTATTCAGAAATCAGGAAAGGTCTACACTGGCGTATTTATTACAGGACATCTCAGCAAGAATGAAATATTAAAAAATGCTAAAGAGGGAGTCGAGGTGATGTAACTTTTAAGGATGGTCTTATGAAAATATTTGTATCTTCAGTAAATATTACACAAAATTTACAGAATTTAAAAGTGTAGGGGAGATGACTGAATCATGCAGGAGAGTGACCTTTTTCTTTAGGTGGCTCAGGACATAGACAACACAAACAATAGCTTGCACTTGTAAGTTAGCTGAGGAATATTTCTATAGATGAACACATTTAGAAATGATGGGAGGTTTTAGGTATGGTGGTATGTTGAAATGGATAGATCATTAAGATGGATGATGAACCTTCACAAGTATCTTTAGCCTTTTTGAGCTATTTCTTCTCCTGTCCCTTAACCTAGTGAGGATAAAAGAATATGCATCAAGAAGGAAGTAGGTCCTCATTGGATCTCATGTCTTCTACCACCAGGATCCCAAACTTCCCAGACTTCAGAATCATGGAAAGAGGATATTTACTGTTTAATACAATCAAACCATGACAATTTGTTATAGCAGCCTTAGCTGGCTTGGACAAAGCCAAAACAGTTCTATAACAAAAAAATCAGAAGTAGCAGGACTAAAATAAATGCCTCCCTCCATGTGGAAACAATACAACTTGACAAAGATCTTAAAGTCCAGTTACAAAGATCCAGAAAATGAAATTATAAAGGGTTTTCTAGATTGTAAACTAAAACTTTAGGTCATAGCAAATGTCCATATTTCATATGAAACTAAAAATATTTCTATTACCACTGCCAGGGAAAACAGAGTATAGAACTGGGTGGATTCATCCCTAGATATATTGTTCATACATGCACCAAAATAATTCTCACTGAAATAGGTATGCGATGCAATGACTATAATAATGGACTTTGTTTAGTCATTTCTTAATATATGAATATATTAAAACATGCAAGAAATCATAAAATATAAAAGTTTTAAAAGAAAGGGAAAAGACTGAGGCATATCAGAGTTTTTCAAACATACTAAGTCACCTGTAAGAGAATATAACTATGTTTGGATATTTCATAGTATGTCAGTTTATTCAAGCTGGAACTATATTTCATTGAATGCACTGCTTTCTAATCCCAGGTTATATTTTGAAGGCTAGAAATGCATGCCTTGGGATTTGACATTCTAGGTAGGGTGTCAGATGTGTGTACAGTTCATACACATTTCTATCTTTCTGATCTGTTGAGCCACATTTTTGGCATGGGGCAGCAGCCAAGAGAATAGTTCCTCCCCAGCCCTTAGATCTACTTGTGTAGCTAGTTTAAGGACAACTGGATAATTAAGGCCTATTTTTTGTCACTCATGATCATGCTTTGTCTATGGTCAAACTCTCTTAGACATAACTAAAGAGGATATGAAGGATACCTTGCAATACTTATAGGCAGAATTCAGAAAATGCTACCAT